GGGGGGGCGTACTCGCTCAGAGGTGCAACTTGAAAGGGCAGCTGACTGGTTGACGATCCATCGGTTGCTGGTGTTGGGCCTATCCTGCCAAGCATGACGAGAAGGCTGGGTAGGATTAGGAAAAAAGCGGGAGAAGGGCTTTGGCTCTATTTAAGAACAGACCTTCTTTTTGTGTGTGGAGAGATGTTTCTTATGCAACTCCTTAATTTCAAATCTTTGATGCACAACCTCCCGCCATCCCCTACTCAATATATTTGAGTTTATTTTCTATTTGGAATTGTACGACGATCCTCATCTTATCTTGCACACGCCTCCAGATCTTAGCTGCCATGGCATCATCTGTGCTTGACGTCTCATCCCCGCGGGGAGCTGCCGTGCCAATCTCGTTTACACGAGGTACATGCAGTCGACCTAGCTTCTTGACTGTCACAGAGGCATTCTTCCACTATGCCACCACACAGCCTTCGGCAACTGCGGCACGAGATCTCTCTGCCGAGCCAGCTGTCGAGATAAGCTATGGTGAGCTTGCTGAACGAAGCATCCGGTTGGCGCAACGGTTACGAAGTCTGGGCGTCATGCCGGGACATCGTGTGCCGCTTGTTGTCAAGCGTGGTGTTGGTATGTTGGTTGGTATACTTTCTATCTTGTCTTGTGGAGCTCAGTATGTTCCTCTCGATGGAGGCGTAGTGGCAGATGAGACCTTGCGGTTTGTGTTACAGCAGACCGGTGGGAGGATAGCTTTGTCTTCAAAGGCTACGGCACATCGTATCACGAGCACGGATGTAACAGATGTTGTCATCATCGAGGATGAGGACATCAGTAATCAAAGCATCGAAGACTTTACTCCAGTGAGTAAGCCTGAGGATGGCTGCTATGTGATATATACATCAGGTATGTGAGTATATCTTCACTACTCTTCATAGCCCTAACAAGCTTTAGGTACAACAGGTACACCAAAAGGAGTCGACGTCACTCACAACAATGTGACAAACTTGTTATGCCAAGCACCAGGAAACTTGGGTATTGGCCCTGGAACATGTGTTGGCCAAGTGCTGAACGTCAGCTTTGATATGGGTAAGCAAGCCAAATATTCAAAGGCAAACAGCCATACTGACATTCAGTTTGAAGCTGCTTGGGAGACTCTTGGTTGTCTATCAAATGGTGGAACCTTGGTAATGCGGGGCTCTGACTGGTCAAAGGCCCTAAAACAAGTGAGTTTACCATGTCCAAGTGTTGGACTAGCCACTGACTATCATAGATCGATGTCCTCATCTGCACACCCAGCATCCTCTCAAAGTACAACCCACAGGATTTCCCAAGATTGAAGACCGTTGCCACAGCAGGAGAGCCTAGTTCCCAACAGTCAGTGCCCTCCTTTCACTTCCTTCTTGATCTCAACTGACCAATCTAGACTCGCTGACCTATGGGCATCTCATGTCTCATACTTCAACTGCTATGGCCCAACAGAAACTACCATTGTTAACACCATGCACCAGCACCAAACAGGCCAGCCTCTCTCCATCGGTAGACCAACACCAGGAAACAATGTTTATATCCTAGACGAGTTTCTTGTTCCAGTGCCTGTTGGAGAAGTTGGTAATGTTTGGGCGGGTGGTGCAGGCGTCGCTCGTGGCTATGTCGACTTGCCAGACAAGACAACTGAGAGGTTCAGACCTGACCCTTTCACTCAAGACGGGTGAGTTTTCAAGGCATGAGATAGTTGGAAAATACGCTGACCTTGAACTCAGTTCAAATATGTACAACACTGGTGATCTCTGCCAATGGAACCCTGACGGTACCCTCCATATACTCGGCCGCATAGACGACCAAGTCAAAGTCAAAGGCTTCCGCGTCGAACTCGACGGCGTAACAGCCTGCATAAAATCCTGCCCCTCCGTCCAATCCGCCACTGCCCTCCTCATCAACAATGAGATCCACGCCTTCATCACCCCCAACCACTGCCCCATCCCCGTTGTCGAAGCGCATCTCAAGACCCTTCAGCCCTACTACGCCATGCCAACGCACTACCACCAACTGGACAGTCTTCCTATGACTCCAAACGGAAAGATCGATAAGCGAGCTCTGAGGATGAAAGAGATGGTGGAGGTTGATAAACCTAAGCCTGCTGTTCTGCATGCGCGTATGGATTCCAATACCTCGAGTGCTACGCAGCTTAGTTCTTTCTCTGATGCGAGTGATACGACGCTTATTAATGAGCATCAGTATGATCTTGAGAAGGCTCTTCCTGAGAAGGATATGCCTAAGCATGCGAGAGGATTACGCCACAGACTTCTCATTGTTTATCGTCGGCTGTTTTCCCTTGTTGGACTCTTCAACATCGGTGCTGCTATTGCTCTCCTCCTGACTGGTATCACTAGAGAGTGGATGGGTATCATCACAGCCATCAACCTAGCCACGGCTGTTCTTGTCCGTCAAGAATTTGTCATCAACGCCCTCTACACTATTACATGTAGTGTCCCCAAGTCCTGGCCTCTCGCTATCAGGACCCGATGCGCAAAGATCTATCATCTCGGTGGAGTTCACTCCGGCGCAGCTGTCAGCGCGGGAGCATGGCTTCTTGCAACAAACATCGCCGACATCGCTTGTTCCTTCGGAAGCTGTGCCAACTGGGGCAGTTTATCCATCGCTTCTCAAGTCATCTCTTGGATCTTGTCTGCCATGTTCGTTGGCATGATCGGAATGGCTTGGCCTTCAGTTCGCAAGCAATATCACGATCTCTTCGAGAGAACTCACCGCTTTGCTGGATGGACTATGCTCGCTCTCTTCTGGGTGCAAACCGTGCTTTCAGCCCACGACAACACTCCTTCTGGTACTACACTTGGAGAATCCTGCGTCAAGTCGCCTGCTTTCTGGTTACTGGCTGTAGCGACAGCCAGTGTTGCTTCTTCCTGGTGCTTCCTCAGAAAAGTCCCCGTTGAAGCTGAGAAACTCTCCGACCACGCTATCAGACTTCACTTTGACTACACTGTACCCGTCAACGGTTCCTTCACCCGTCTCTCTCACAAACCTCTCAAGGAGTGGCATTCCTTCGCCACTATCCCGGCTCCCGAAGCCATCAACGGTCGATCAAAGGGCTACTCCCTTGTCGTCTCTAATGCCGGCGACTGGACAAAGTCCACCATCCAAGACGGCCCCTCTCACATCTGGACACGCGGTGTCCCAACCTGCGGCGTCATGCGCATCGCAACGCTCTTCAACCGCGTCGTCCTCATCGCAACAGGCTCCGGCATCGGTCCTGTTCTCGGACATATCCAGAACCCAACATGTCCCACACAACTCATCTGGTCAACAAAGAACCCTGAAGAAACCTTTGGGGAGGAGATCTGCCAGACTATCAGCGAGCGCATTCCCAACGCGGTCATCCACGATACTAAGAAGCTCGGGAGACCTGACTTGGTGAAGATGGGCTACAATCTGGTAAAGGCCTTCAAAGCTGAGGCAGTCATCATCATTGCGAATGAGAAGATTACGAAAAAGGTGGTTTATGGTTTGGAAACGCGTGGTGTTCCAGCTTATGGTGCTATCTGGGATAGTTAAGTTCACGATTTGATTTTGGAGTTTTGAGTTTGGACGTCTGTCTGTATTCATGTCTGGGATGAGTTTTATGCCGGAAACGATTTCGATACGATGAATGATTACATGTTATGATCTGAAACAATATTCGTCAAGATTCGCGCGTTGGAATGTAGTCGTGCTTGGCATCGGAGGCTGAGATTGAGTTTGGGGCTGGATTGACTTTGAGGCTGGATTGACTTTGAGGTTGACCTGGGGCCCCCGTTACAATCCGATTGAGTTCTGAGATCGACGATGGCTGAAGCGAGCGAAGAATGCACGGAGAGGGTGAAGATAACAGACTGTTCCATCGCTGCAGATCATGTCGCTGGGGATCCCAGTCCGGATCGTGTTTGACTCAGTGACGCAGATCATTATGCTCGGCTATTACTTTACACAATACCAGAAACTCTCATTCCTGACTGGATAACGTATGTGTGATATTTAAATGTAAGATGCCGCTTCAAAGATATGGCTGTACGCGCCGCGAGGCACTCAAATAGTCTGAAATGAACGAAACGAAATAAACCCTTCCCTTCGCTACACCTGATTGTACGGGGATCCAAAGGCCAACCAATCAGCCTCCGGGTCGGGCACTCCGTTGTTTCTGGTTGGTTCCCGCATCGGCTGTAACTGTAGCTGTGACTGGCTGCTTGAACTTGCTGACACTCGAGGACAATTGAAGAACTCAAAGACGTCGATGCTATCAAGCTCGCTGAGAGACGTAGCTTGTGTTGATGTTGGTTCAAGGCCGGAGTGTCGTGCTGTCGATGTAAGAGTCACTAGGTCATATGCACTCCTGTGATTGTTAGTCGAGATGTCAAGCCTGTTTCAAGACGCGGGGACTTGCCTTCGCATAGCTGAGAAATTCATGTCGCCCTGTCGAGCTCTCTGGACAACACGATGCAGGATCTTGGAGTAATTGTTCGCAACCTCCCAATGTTGCCCAACATCTCGCAACGTATCAATAAAGAAGTCAATCTGCGAGTCCATGGGACATCCAACCGTCGCAGCATGTACAAGAAGTAATCTCGCAGCAACCCAAAGCGAAAAGGCAAATGAAGGACCCAGGAGATTCAGGCCATCAGCCTCAAGAACATCTTTGGTGATGTCCCCCAAACTCTGCACAGCAGATAAACATCTCTGCATGGCGTAGTGCGAAGGAACAAAGATGTGAGAACGAACTGTGGGATATGCCGCTGAGGAGTGCAGTCTCACAGCAGCCGTTACATACGCGCTATGCAGCATGAACCAGTTCGCCACGCGACTCGCAGGGTCAGAATGGCAAAGAGCAGAGATCTTGCTATATTCGCTCGGCAAGCTCTGCAGCCAACCATCCAGCGTCCTGTCCAGATTCCGATATGTGTTGCGCCATTCAGCCATGTCGCTCGATGAAGTCACATCAACAGGCGTTTTGAGAAACTCGTGGATTCTGCTAACAATGACAAGAATCTCACAGTGATAAGCGAAGCTGCCGAGGTTCTCGGGTTTGTTGACGAGATATGTCATGATCGGTGATTGCTTTTCGTTATAGGGACTCAAAGAGCGTGTTTCGACTGGCACGTTCTTTGAGAAGAGGTCGTATGAGCAGGGGAGGAAGCGGTTGATTTTTTTGTCGTTAAGAATGAAGTCAAAGTTCGGTGTTGCGATTGTTGCGTATCGATCTAGAACATAGATCATCCAGTATAATCGTCTTCGTCCCTCGTCTTCAATCCAAGATTCGGGTTTGCCAGCGGTGACTCTGTGAGATGAAGCGGTGCGCGTAACCTCAGAAGCATCCGCGGATAGAAAGACGCTGCTTTCTTCGCTCAGTCCCAGCTGCCTGACGTTTTGTGCCAGTAAAGACAGTAGATTCCAGCCTCGCGGGCCATTGGAGGTTCCCAGCTCATCCAGAGTGATGATTACAAGAGCTCTCATCGCAGGTATGGTAGTATGCTCCATAGCGTACAACTGGACTGTATGCTTGGCGATCTTGTGATAATATGAACTCATCTCTGGTGATAACCTCGGATCCTTGAGGAAGCGCAACGTGGTAGCCACAATCGCGTAGAGCAGTATCCGATCTGCTTCCTCCATAGAAGTTGAGCCAAAGAAGGTGGCAAAGATGGTCTTGCGCTCAAGAATAGGACACCATGTGTTGCAGTGCTTGAAGTATAGATCTACCAAGCTGTAGATGATGTCGTGAGGCGGTAGATCAATCGTGTACGACTGAAACGATGGATCTCGCCTTACGCCAGCTGGATTCGGCGCAGTACTGGATTGACTTGGCGTTGGTGCACTGGCGCCTTGCTGAGTCTGCATCGGCGACTGAGTAGTGTTCTGGTTGTTTATGGGCTGCCATGGACTTGTGATGCCCGGTGATCTCGCCTGCGAGAAAGAAGACTGTCTTGGAAGACTTGTGTTTGGCGTCGGTCTCCCATCCACTTGCGGTGGTCCATACCCGTTGTTTATTGACGGCGATACACCTGGAGAACCGACTGAAGAGTGATCTTGAACGATATGCTCCTCCACTCGTCTTCCCAACGCTTGAAGCAGCGCATCAATCCTGTTGACCTTTGCCTCAAGCTCAATGCTAAAGCCATTACGCGCAGCGCCTGGTTTCTGCCTCTCAAGGTAAACACAAGCTCTGTTATGTCTCGCGCACCACGAACAAGCAGGTTCAGCGCGATCGCATTTAACCTTGCGCGCCTTGCACATCTCACAGCTACCACGCCATTCAGCTTCAATTTCTCAATCGATACAGAGCGTACATACGATATCTTCTGATGCTTCTCCCTCCTGCGCTTCTTGTTAGGACCGGCGCTGGTCATTCTGGACTCGTCGCCGCTGGACCCATCGTCGTTGCTCAAGGTCGAATTTGCCTCTTCCTCAGCAATTGAGGGTCCGCTCATTGACGTGGATGGCATGTCGATCTCTCTGTCACTCTCTCCGCAGTCTGGGGAAACAAACTACTGGGGAATGGAATAAGCAGCAGAAACCTTGCACGGTCTGTTATCGGGGTTTTTAGTGGAGGTGAGAAACGTGTTGTTGGGTATGAGATCGGATGCGACAGGCGGAGTAAGGCCGAAGCCGCGGGAAGGGGAAGAGAAAATCTGGAGGTGTCACAGAGTGGAGCACCCCAAGTTAATTGACTAATACTGGGTCTAGTGAAGTCAATGGCCAAGCAGAAGCACTAAATCCATCCAGTAGCACGCAAGAAGCACTGAACACCAAGACAATATCACTGCATCACTCAATTGCAACCATTCAATTCAAGTGCCAATGCAATGGAACTACAACACTGCACTGCAAAAAAACAGTCGCGGTCCAGTAGAAATGCATGTGGTCCAACGTTGCAGGCGGTATCCCTGTCTAGCCAAAAGCCAAGTACCTTACGTGCTGCGGTTGGTCGACAAGGAGCAATATCCATGTCGTGGTTTCAACAAAGACCTTCTATCTATGGTTAACCTTGCATTGCCGTTACGCATGTGACATGTGCATCTTCGGACCACAAACACCGGCATATGTAGACTGAATTATGAGGGAAATATTCTTTTTTTGCCGGATCACTCGGGGGTTTGACGACAAACATCCCGATCCTTGACTTGGCCTGTGAAGGATGCCACACCAGCAGATTCTACAGATTCCCCCCTCTCCCGGAAATAACAATAAAAGTGCGGAGCCGCTCATGGTACGATCACGAAAGAGTCTAGTGGTTGTTCCAGAACAAGTCAAGTTCCATATTTATTCACATCCCTCGTGGCCACTACTGCACGTCGGGCTTATATCTGGTTACCTTCTTGGTACAGGTTGGTGTTCCATCAGGCAGCAGTATTTGGGACCATCCATGTCAAACATACTAGTACAGAATCAGACCTAATCAAGCTAATTAATGTAACTACCTACATACGGAGTACAGAGCTAACTAACAAACAAACAAAAAAGCAAGCAAGCAAATCAATCTACTCGTTGGCCCATCCCTTGGACATCTCAACCGCTTTGGTCCATCGACTGAACCGCTTCGTCGCTTCTTCCTCGGCGATCTGCGGTTTAAAAATGGTGCGACCCTGAGTATTCACCTCCTTCAATTCATCAAAGCTCTTCCAGATGCCGACGGCGAAGCCGGCCGCGATAGCTGCACCTAGTGCAGTTGTCTCACGCATGCCTGGTCTGTTGACAGGGATCCCAATAAGGTCAGACTGGGTCTGCAAAAGTGTCAGCAAAGTACTCCCACGAGATCAAGAACAAGGATTCTCAAAGTAATTCCTTTACGTACCTGCATGATGAGATCCGAGTTGCACATGCCACCGTCGACGGCCAGCTCCGTCAGCGCATGTCCGCTGTCCTTCTCCATCGAGTCGAGAATGGCCTTTGTCTGAAAACACGTCGCCTCCAGCGTCGCTCTCGCAACGTGCCCGCGCTGCGTGTACGCCGTAATACCAAAGATCGTGCCTCGCGCATCGTCAATCCAGTACGGCGCAAACAGGCCGCTAAAGGCCGTTACAAAGGTGCACCCACCATTATCTTCCACAGTCTCCGCGAGCGCGCTGAGCTTGGCTGACGACTCGATGAAGCCAAAGTTGTCAACTAAAAACTTTACGCTTGACCCCGCGACGGCGATGCTGCCTTCGAGGGCGTACATGGTGTTGCCCTCGCCAAAGTCAAAGGCTACCGTTGTGAGAAGTCCGTGTGTGGAGATCACGGGCTTGGAACCAACGTTGTAGAGCAGAAAGCAGCCTGTGCCATATGTGTTCTTGGCGAGACCGGGGGTGAAGCCCTTCTGTCCAACAAGAGCTGCAGACTGGTCGCCCAGACATCCAGTGATCTTGACGCCCTTGAGCGACGTCTTAGCAAGTGTGCCGTAGGCCTTGCTATCAGACGACCGCACGATTCTTGGCAGCGTAATCTTCTTGTCATCGATTCTGAACCAGTCCAGAATATCCTCGTCATACTGCAAAGACTCGAGATTCATAAACATGGTCCTCGACGCATTTGACGGGTCAGAA